TTATCCAAAGCACGTCTTGAATTCTTCTACTAGTTCTAATAATGCATACACTTTAATTCCTATGCCAGAACATTCCATCATTCATAACCAGAAGCATTCATAATTTAAATGACTGTCTCTGCTGTTGATGACACCATCAATTATTAGGTTCTGTGATGGAGAAGATCTGCACTGATTAGCATGCATTTTTCAACACTGCTGTTGAATAGAGTTTTATAAAGCTGTAACTTTCAGGAAATGGCTGGGATTTGATATTCTGAAATTCCCCTGCTGTGGTGTTCTGAGATGGAAGCTTTGGAGCACTGCTTAGTAAATGCTTCACATTTCATATGATAATCAAATTTCAGTAACAACACATTGTGCACAGCAGTAATTAACATTCCAGCAAAATTTTTAAGTGCAAATTTTGCCCAGAACCACAGTTTGTCCAGCCCAGCTCAGCACTGTGTAGGACATACGATACATTGGGAAAACACTCTCACTTTTCGAATTCAGCAAAGTACTTCAGCACATATTCTTCTTAACACCTGCTTCCATCCACCTCTGCTCAGAGAATGACAAGGCACGATGGAGAACTGGGGACTCAGCAGGATACCTTCTGCTCTCACCTTCTGGATTTTTAAATCTGGAGGTTGCTATACAGTATATCCAAATGCAAAAGGTAAAAAATGATGAGACAAATCCTTTAAAAATCTAAGATTTATCCAAGAATCTCAAGAGTTTTGTTCACCTATTTGTGGTCTCTGTATTTTAATGCCACTCTGCGAGCTGTCTCAGAGGACAAAAGCTGCAGTCAGTGTCTCTGCCCTGCTGCTGGCAGGACTCACCGTGTGTGAGCGAGGCTCATGGCCCACTTCTGAACAGCGTGAGGGCATTTGCTGCTGTAGCAGCTAACCAGCCCCAGCCAGACTCAAATTGCTGTTGGGAAGGAGACAGGCCTCCTGCCCTAGAGCTTCTCTTAGCCTTTCCCTCCTGAAGTTTCCAGTTTAAAAAGAAACCCTTTTTAAATGTGTGCTTTTATAAAGAGCAATCAGTGCTATAATCCAGTGGAGATGGAGCCATTCAAGGAAAGGCTGTTATGTGAATTTATCACTAGACTACAATTCCTGACTGCAGCAATTTGCTGATAGGATCCATAGTGAATATGTCCATAAAAAGAATAATAATAACAACTCACATTTCTGTCTGTGTTGTCCCACACGACACAATAAAGCTTGAGATGCCTGGACTCTCTGCTCTGGTGTTACTCAAGAGCTACAGCACAAACACCGCTCTGTACAGGGAGAACAACACCCGCCTCTGTCCTCTCATCCCACTGGCCCTTTCAGTGTCTCAACAGTGGCACCCCTTTAGTGATGCACCATTTCATTACACCAGGCTTCGCTCTCAAATGCTCAATGAATTCCTGTTTGTAAAGACTTGATGCTTTCATATCCGATGCCATTATGTCTCTAGTTCTGATTTCCATATTAATTCAGCTTACTTTTCTATAGTCCTCACTCTAATTATGGTCAGTGCCTTGCTGTTTGTTGGCAATGTCTAACGAAGGCCTAAGGAAGGCTGCTGAGTTCCAGAAATTGTCTGATTGATGTAAACATTACAGTTGGCTTAAAATTAGCTTTACACGTAAGAAAAACATGACTGAAGAAATTTTGTGAATTAGTACTTTAAAGGGCACCTGAAGTTGAAAAGTTACCTTGTAAGTTCTTAGAATCTCTGAAAATCTACCTCGGAGGCTGAAGCTACTTGAGACTAGAATGACAGCTGGTGAAAAAGAAATTACTGAACTACTGTGATTCATTCAGTTTCCAAAATAAAACAGATGTTATTTGGTGTATTTCCAATGTATGGCTTCCTCACCCATAGCAACTGTTCTGATGCTTTTCAGTGTTTTACTGAGGGGTAGCTACGAGGTGTCTACAGATATTAGATTAAGTAATATAAACCTAAAATCATTTACAAATAGTTCCAGATCACTCCAAGAGCTACCTTCCTCAAATGACAGGCACATGATGCATTAATACAGTTACACTAAATTACATCCGTACAATTCCTTTCATCTCAGATATTCCCAAAGCAAACTGCAAGCTGAATGAATATCCCACTCTCCCTGTTCCTGTCTCATTTAACAGTAGATTAAACACATTACATACAGTGGTTTCTGCTCCTTGGCTGGTGACTATGGATATCCCTGCCATAAGCATTCAGGGAAAACAACTTCAGGCAGACACGAGGGCAGCAAAGCACACTTACTTAAACTAAAGTAGGCAGCCACAACTGTTTAGGGTATTTTTTGTTATTCTGCTGCATACGATTCACGTCAGGACTGAAAGAAGAATGACAAGAATATATTCTAGAACAACCACAGAACTTATGATGACCTAAAATACAGCTTTTTGACCTGGAGAGGTAACTCCAGGTGTTAGAAGAGTTAATATCGAAACTGGGAGGAATAAAGCAAGAAGAAAGGAGCGTTCATTGCAGAGCCCTCTGAAGGCAGAGACTCCAGCAAAGAGAAAGGCTCAGTCTCAGGGTTTAAAACTGCTGTTAGTGGTAACCTGACAGCCTGAAAGAAAGGGGTATCTTCTCCCTGCCTTTTAATGCTTCCCCAGTTGCTTGCCCTACCATGCTGGATGGCAGCTGGGAAGTTACTAAGAGTATTTGATTTAAGGAAGTAAAAATGACCAGACAGATGTTTTTGCAATCTCTAAGGAAGGGCTTGAAAATAAAAAGGTTGTAAATAGAGTTACATGATCCCAGTGCATTTCACCCCACCAGCCAGTGCATGTGCTCTGGATCTCTCTGCCTCCAACCTCATGGCAAAAGGGACTCCAAAATCTGCTGGAGTCTGAATGCAGCTCGACAGACTAGAGCCATAAATCATTTGATGTTCATGCTTTATCCTTAAAATTTCAGAGAACAAAAGGAATCGTCTTGCTGAAGCCTCATAGAAAACCGAGCAGACTTTTAAAGGCTGCATCCTTATGTGATTCACATACAAAAGTTCAAACTAATGGCAACAGTCCACAGGCATTAAGGGAAATAACAGCAATCAATGCTATTTTTAAAGGGAAGAGTGGGGGCGAGGGGTTAACATATGTGGAATTAGCTCTGGGCAAAATGAGAAGCCATTGCATCTAAAATCAAATGCATTCTCTGAAATAGACACCAGAGCCCAAATTCCCGTGTAGACTCCTGCAGTCCAAGAGTTTCAGCAGAATTTGGCCTTCCCCTTAACTTAGCTTCATTAGGTCATATCATGCCACCAGCTTTTATGCTGGACGTCCTACTTACTTCACATCAGTTGTTGGCACTATGTAGGCAATTTTCCGAATTGGAGGGGGAGAGAAGGCTGCTGTGTGCACAAGGGAGAGGAATTCTTTTCCCATGGAGAATAAAAGCCATTTCTTAGGAGAGTTTGAGGGGGGAAAGTGATATTTGTAACCCTTCTACCAGATGTCACCAGTGGCAACAAGAACCAGTATTAGGTATCTATCCATTAAATTCTTCCTGAAATTTTTCAGTGTCAGCTGGTTAACAACCCATTCAGAAAACTGGGGACGCTGACATCTTCCACCGCCATTCTTAACCCACAGCTCTGTAATTATCTGTGTCTGAAACTTTTGTGGAGAGCAGACGTGCAGAAATTGTTAAAAAGAAAAAACCTTTGTAGCACTAATTTTTCTCGTGTTTATCTGCAGTAAGCAAAACCCCACCCCCTCCACACACAGTGTCCTTTGTCCTCTGTCCCCAGCGCTGCGTGTTGGATGCACCGAGGTCTCGTAGGTACCACCCGCCACTCTCAGCTCGGCACTGGGGGTCACCGGCCCTTGGCTTCTGCGCCCGGCTGGGCTTGCCTTCCCTTCACAGGGCAACGCTTCTGAAAAAAGATGACATTAAGACAGCCTCTGCACTGTCACCTCAAGCCGTGACACCACTCGCACTGTCACTCCTCGCCATGCCCTGGCCACCATGCCAGCCAAGTGACTTGTCTCTTGCTGTTCTCTGCCTCAAGCCACAAGTGAGGTCAAGGCTCCTCACCCACTCAGGCTACGACATTCGGGAAAGAAAACTGAGATCCTCAAATTGTTTATATGCATCACATTTTTTATGTAAAAAAAGAGAAAAAAAGGTAAGTAGCACAAAGGAACCCTTGGAAACAGTGCTGCCAAAAAAACAAACCCCATAATGACTTATCTACAGGAGACCAGCAGGTTGGCTACAAATCTCCAAAGACACTCCTCGCTCCCTGCTGCGATGCTGCCACCGAAATTTCTCTCTCTATTCTGAAAGCAAAGATCTCTCATGTGGGGCTCGGGGGCTTCTGTCTCAGAGACAGCTGGGTAGATCACAGCCCTCTGCTTCATACACACGCGACTAAACAGGATGTCAGAACCTTTCAGAATTCAAAGATTTTCTCTGGAAACATACCAGACAAAATGCCCTCCCCCAACCAACTGTTCCAGGGATTGACATAATATTATTTTACCTCCTGTAGCAACGAATTCACCGTGTGGTGCTTTTTTCAAAACAACAACAGACCAGACCTTCTGGGAGACAACAGGACGATTCTTTTCCCTAAATGGTTTGCCACACAAACAATATTTGAACAGGACATTTTTAATTTTTCTTTTTGTTCAGTGCTCTAATGATGAAAGTCTATCACATGTAGTGTCTACAGATAAGACAACAACTTATCACATTTAAACCTTCATCAAAGGCATCTCTTCAGAAGTTAGAAGTGCTTCATTTCATCTGACTCCTTGGATCAAGCACATCCGACAGCGGGGTGGGGGGAATTTCTGCCCCACATCATATGGAGAAGTTGGTATTTTCTGCTTAAATCAGAAGAAATTTGATATGACTCTGTCCTTTTCGCCTATCTAGCCACTTATCTTGTTTCGTTTGCAAATATCATATGTATTCTCTTGAGATAAAAATAGTGCAAGATGATTAGTTCGGCAAGTTAATTTGACACCATTCCCCCTCCGTGACGCTGAAATCTAAAATCTGTATATGGTATACAACTTAAAGTATATATATGCAAGCTCAGCTCTGGGGGAGACACACGGCAAGTACGTCCCTCCCAACCAGACCGCCTCCTTACCCCGCCGAGAAGACCACAAAGGTAAGCTCATTAGATCCTCTGCTTTCAGAAACAGAAACACAAGAAAAGGCTCCCTAACCAGAAAGTGCCTTTGCAATTAAAGTATCTGTTCTTCTGTCAGCTTCCAGCATGTCTGGTCCTTTCCACAAGCTAACTTAGAATAGAATCAGCATTGAGATCATGGGATGGAAAAAGACAGGAACGATGCTCCTTGTAACAAATGAGACCATGATGCAATTTTTAGGTTTTCCTTCAACTCTCCCCCATTTTTAATGCTGTCAGCAGTGAGAATGAGGTGAGTGGCAGAGATCCAAACTACCTCGCCTGGTGCTGACAGGGGGAAGTACTTTGCACAAGGTGGCACCGGGACAAACCAGAAGTTTGTCTCCTGGCTGGAGAAGTGCTCTGCCACCAGCAGGAGCGGGTCCCCTTGTCTCCTTACACCCCCCGAGACACTCAGAAGGGGACTGAAAGGACCGGCAGGTTCCCGGAGGCAGACACTTCCTAATGGGGGCAGTTCCCACTTGTGTGGAGATCTCACACAGGCTGGAAATGGGGATTCCTCCTCCTGGAGGCTGCCTTCCCTGCTCAGCCAGGAGGGGTGATGCTGCTGAAGAGCAGTCAGAGATTCATGAAAAGACACATCTGTTCTCTTGTGGCTTTCAAGAATAGCTTTTCTATGCCTCAGTTCCTCTTCCTTCATGAACATGGCACTGCTTTGCAGTATTGTCCCAAGGTTTAAAGTGCAGTTTATCAAACTGTAAATGCATCAGTGCTATGTTCACACTAAAATATAGACTAGAAATTCAGGCCCTGCAGCATTTCCTTAAGCAATATGTATTACATTGGGAAACTCTTGCAGCTGCTGGTGGCTGAACGGGACAAAGAGTATCTTTTGTCAAATGCTGCTGTATCAGAAGAAAGCGCCTCCTCCGCTCCACTAGGGAGGAGTATTAAGTCTCAATACCTCTGTTCTAAGCACATCAATATACTGAAATGCCAAAATTTGGAAAAAAATCTGGTTCATTATCACTTGTATGAAATAAAAAAAGAAAGCAAAACAAACCCCCCCCCCAAAAAAAACCCCCACAACAGACTTAAGAAAACCCTTCTATAAAGCTATCATACATGTAGTCTGTTAACGATGCTGCAGCCCAGCAAGCCAAATTTATTGTGTAGTTACATTTACTGTTGCAACCAAACAAGAGGAACTTACTCTCCAAAGTTAGATTTCCTTCAATTGAGTAAAATTATTATTACTTATTCTGCACTATTTTCATTCTTGTATTCATATATGTATTGATAGTAATAGTAGATTTATTCCAGATATAGGCTCCAGGGGACACATGGAGCCTTATCTTTTATGTATGATGTAAATATATGGGGATTTTAATTGCGTAATAATCCACCTCCAGGAAGCCATGAAGTTCTGTGGTGCCAGACACCTCCCCGCAGCAGAGCACCGGTCCCTGCTGGACCCCACACTCCCCCGCAGAGCCCCCCTTCCTCACCCCGCTCCAGCGGGGACCGGCCCCCGACACCCCTCATTTGCCATGAGATCAGTAACGTCTCCCCTATCACACACTGTCACAGCAGCAACTCCAAACAGCTGTGAAAGAGGTAGAGGTGTCATTGTAATGACTAAGTAGCTCACATCTAATTTATGTTACAGCTCAACAATGGCCATCACTGACATCCTCTCTGCTAAAGATATCGAGTCTGCTCTCTCCAGCTGCCAGGGTAAGGAATGGTCTCTCTGCAGCCCGAGGATGCATATCATTTTTATGTCTTAAGACGACATGCCTATCGTTTTCCCTTGGATTCCTTCCCCGTGAGATCTCTTTCGAGCTACATTACAGCACAGCCCCTCGAATGCATGGAGTCACACAAGTGGTTATTCGGTGTAACATTCCCCGAAACACAGAGTGGCAATTAAAGGGCCACAGTTTTGGTTAGGGCTGGCTTCATTCTAAACTTTGTCAATTTTTAAGCCTGTTAAAGACTTATATTTAAATAGCCTTTTCCTGCAACATGTCAAGAAAAGCCTTGGCTTGCAGAACCACAATGTCATTTCATAGAATCACAGAATGGTTAGAGTTGGAAGGGACCTTAAAGATCATCAAGTTCCAACCCCCTGCCATTTGTGAAGCCACGACCAATCTCAATTCTCTTAAGAGATCCTCAGCCAGACCAAGCCAAAAAAAACCCCCACAACAGACTTAAGAAAACCCTTCTATAAAGCTATCATACATGTAGTCTGTTAACGATGCTGCAGCCCAGCAAGCCAAATTTATTGTGTAGTTACATTTACTGTTGCAACCAAACAAGAGGAACTTACTCTCCAAAGTTAGATTTCCTTCAATTGAGTAAAATTATTATTACTTATTCTGCACTATTTTCATTCTTGTATTCATATATGTATTGATAGTAATAGTAGATTTATTCCAGATATAGGCTCCAGGGGACACATGGAGCCTTATCTTTTATGTATGATGTAAATATATGGGGATTTTAATTGCGTAATAATCCACCTCCAGGAAGCCATGAAGTTCTGTGGTGCCAGACACCTCCCCGCAGCAGAGCACCGGTCCCTGCTGGACCCCACACTCCCCCGCAGAGCCCCCCTTCCTCACCCCGCTCCAGCGGGGACCGGCCCCCGACACCCCTCATTTGCCATGAGATCAGTAACGTCTCCCCTATCACACACTGTCACAGCAGCAACTCCAAACAGCTGTGAAAGAGGTAGAGGTGTCATTGTAATGACTAAGTAGCTCACATCTAATTTATGTTACAGCTCAACAATGGCCATCACTGACATCCTCTCTGCTAAAGATATCGAGTCTGCTCTCTCCAGCTGCCAGGGTAAGGAATGGTCTCTCTGCAGCCCGAGGATGCATATCATTTTTATGTCTTAAGACGACATGCCTATCGTTTTCCCTTGGATTCCTTCCCCGTGAGATCTCTTTCGAGCTACATTACAGCACAGCCCCTCGAATGCATGGAGTCACACAAGTGGTTATTCGGTGTAACATTCCCCGAAACACAGAGTGGCAATTAAAGGGCCACAGTTTTGGTTAGGGCTGGCTTCATTCTAAACTTTGTCAATTTTTAAGCCTGTTAAAGACTTATATTTAAATAGCCTTTTCCTGCAACATGTCAAGAAAAGCCTTGGCTTGCAGAACCACAATGTCATTTCATAGAATCACAGAATGGTTAGAGTTGGAAGGGACCTTAAAGATCATCAAGTTCCAACCCCCTGCCATTTGTGAAGCCACGACCAATCTCAATTCTCTTAAGAGATCCTCAGCCAGACCAAGCCAATTTTCCAATTGCTCAAAGAGCTGGTTTAAGACTGTGAATTACTTACTTTTCTACCAAATTCTCCACCACAGGAAGGACTAAGTGAAAAGGAAGTAAGAATTATAGAAGTTGGTCTGTAGCCACAGTAGCACCCTCTAAATATTTGTTATTAACTGCGTGTGACACATTGCTTCAATCCTGGTTCACCAGAATGTGCACTGGAGCAGAAAACTTCCAACTGGCTGAAGGGATATATTAGCACAGGCACAGGGAGATTAAACAGGAAATTATCCACCCAATCTTCTGTTTTACTACACCGGGGAACAAGAGATAGAGGAGCAGGCTGATGCTTCAGAAAAGCCACACGTGTTCCCAAGGAATACATGCAGTAGTAACAACTTCAAGGGAAAATACTTAAACAACTTCTGTTTCTTCCAGCTGACGATTCCTTCAACTACAAGTCCTTCTTCTCCATGGTTGGTTTATCCAGCAAAACTCCTGATCAGATAAAGAAAGTTTTTGGAATCCTGGATCAGGACAAGAGTGGTTTCATTGAAGAAGAGGAGCTTCAGTAAGTCTTTCTTTAAACAGCGTAAAACTTAGAACTCACTTGGTATCCTAGAAGAAACTTGCAGTTATTTTAAAAATAAGACTCAATTCCTTGCCTTTCCTTGAATCTGTGTGGATTTCCTCAGGAGATCAGAGCAGGGATTACATTCTGGGTGTCAAGGGCATTTCAGAGAATACAACTCTGGTTTTATTCTCAGTTCTCTACCCTGTGCTCTTTCAGACTGTTCCTGAAGAACTTCTCTTCGAGTGCCAGAGTCCTCACCTCTGCGGAGACCAAGGCTTTTCTGGCTGCAGGTGACACTGATGGTGACGGCAAAATTGGGGTGGAAGGTAAGGCTTTTGGAAACTTCCTAAAATTTGTGTTTTAAAATGCATGCATTTAGGGCAGCATTTCAACTGTGGCATGAAGAACACATCCAAGTAATTTGGGTGGCTACTTTCTGCCACAATTTCAATACCAGCGAGTACTCCTTTATTTTCACAGCTTTACTCTCTGGTCTCTTTTGCAGCAACAGGACATTTAGGCCCAGTGTAGAGCCTGTTCCTGCAATCAATAACAGCAGCTTTGGGGTTAACTCTGCTGTATGTCTGATCCACAGACACAATGCACCAGATTTTTAAACGATCCTCAGCACCTATTCATTCTCTGAATTTCCGTTTCGGCAAAGGATGCTCTGCACTCCTGGCCATATGACACTTCCATTTTTAAACACGCTTCCACCTACATAAACTTGTTTCTTCATCTACCACTGTTGAAAGTTGGCAAATATTCCTGAGTGGTGAATTCAGTGATGTAGAATAAGGCTGGTATTGTTTGTCAAGGGTAGAACTGCTCAGTGCAGCACAGAATTGTGTGCTGGAGAGTTATCTGAAGGGCGAATGTCACTGGGCAGTCCTTCTACGAGAAACCAAATCAAATTCCTAAAGAAAGCCTCACAGGGGTGATGTGAATTGGCCAGGATATTTCTTTCAGAAACTGCAGCAAGGGAAAATAGGCCATTATGCATCATATATCAGAACTTAAGTCAGTGAAGAGGGGCTGTCTCAGCCGAACGGGGACAGGTGGCAATAACTCCAACAGACACAGGGGCTAATCTTAGCCCAGCCCCGGAGGAGGGAGATGCACTGCTGGAGGAATTTGCTTCAGCAGCAGCTTCTGCAGCTTGGGTTTGTAAGCCCCAAATAGGGCATTATATTATGCAGATCTCAGCCCTTAACCGTTGGATCTCCCAGGCGGAATTACATCCCCACTGGTATTTTCTCTTTGGAACAACAAAACCAGAAAATCCCTCATATTGAAATCTACAGACTCAACCAAATTCGCCTTCTGCATCCTTGGCTATCATCAGAGTTTGTAACGGGTTAAAGATAGTTTACCTTTAACTCAGGATTTCCCACAAATCGAAATTTAAAGATGCATTCCTCCTCTCTGCACTTACTTTTTTTAAGGAGTGAAAAATCTGTTACGCCCTCAGAATCTCAGTTTAGCAGTAGCTTGTGCAGTGTTATAATAACTTTGGGAGCCCTCCATGACTAGGAGTTTAAGTCACTTTTATCTATTTTTTCTAAAGATGTTTAAAATCACTTTCATCTAGATTTATTCCCTGCCTTTCTCATTTTCTTCCTTGACAGAATTCCAATCTCTGGTGAAGGCGTAGACAGCATTAGACCAAAGGCAACCTTGGACTGACTCTTCCAATTACCTCGTCCAACAAGCACTTCGCACCCAGCGTGTGTTTGTACATTTTTATATTGCTTCAGGCGTTAACAATTCTCCCTGCATCGAGTCCACAGGCTGGATTGCTGAGAAATCTTGCAATGTACAGCTGTTTTGGTCACACAACATTGTTACATTTCCATTGTAAAGAAGGCACTTTGTGATTTTCAACCACACAAATGTTGAAATTGTGGCTGGAAGAGGGGAGGAAAAAAATTTAAAAATTAAAAAAACAAAAAACCACAACTTGGGGGAAAAACTGTTTTTTTTGATTTTGTTTAGGTTTTCCATCCTCACATTTGACCACGCTGACTCACCAGACACAGTTTTGGTTGTCTTAAACAACATTACATCTTTTAAGGCTTAATTGTACTGATTTCATTGAGTTTTATTTCTCCTTAATTCTCTGATCCTTGAGGAAAAGCAACGCTAACAAGATAGCTAAAAATAATTTATATTAAGTCCCAAACCTGAGAATATGAGCAAAAAAATTCAGAGGAGTTGACACATAACTCAAAGCATGGAGTAAGTTTGTGGATAATTTTGCAAACTGAAGCACTAGGCTACAGCACGTACCGTCAGAAAGTGTTTATAGCCTAAAATGTAACTCTCCCTTAAGAAGATTTATCTTTCGTGAAATCTAAGGCAGCTGTGAGATACAGGAGAAGGGTCTAATCCCAACTCTGACACTGCCACAAGTCACAGTCCCCTGACAACGTGCCTGCAGGTTTTGCAGTGAATCATGAACATGTTCTTATTATCTCTTAATATGTACAAAACAATAATATTTTGCCACATCTGTGAATTTCTGTGTTTCCTACAGATGAAACAACAGCCAGACTTGCTGCCCGATTACCTTAAAGCTCTGTTATGTTGCTAAATAATGGCCATTACCCAATTCTTTCATTTATTATACAAATAATCATCTATATAACATTACCAATTTTCTTAAGTCTGAAAACTACTAAGAACTAGTCTTTCCTTTGATAAGCATCTCACAGGAGTTAGAGCTAGTTATAGCCTTATCTTCATTCACGGACAAAGTAGATCCTGTCCACGGCTAAACGCGCAGACGGAGGAGATGCCGGGGGTTCTGCCTGAGTGGGCTGGCAGCTTCCCCACCAACACTTTGCTGTCTCTGTTCCACCACGCCTTGGTTCCAGCTCACAAGCAGACCGTCACTTTAACACTCCCTGCTGAAACTGCATGATAATGCTAACATAATTTGGCAGCTGTTTCTCAGAGGAGCAGAAACAAACCCTTCTGGAAGTTCCCTGCAAGGTTCAGCGGTGGCACGTCCATGCTGGCTGTGCGAGGCAGGAGCCGCTCACTCACAGCGGGCGCATAGGAGCCGGGGCAGAGCTCAGGCAGCTAATGCAAATGAGGAACTCTGGCAATCAGATTCACTGAAGCCTTGGCAGAATTATAATGAATATAAACCCTAATTCTATCCCCACCGCCTTTGATGTCAAATCTGGGCTTAAATTACAGCTGCTGTTAATTGCAGCACTGAAATATTTTGCATAATGATGAGACTCTGTTGGTTCCTTTTACCTCGTTTATTTTTCTGTCTGCTGAAGAAAAAGATGCAGAGCAATCCAGATCTGCAGCACCAGAGAGAGGTAACACATACACAGCTCCTCTAATCACTGCGTAACCTGGCACTAGCTGAAAAGCAGCTGGCGCACACAATACCCGGACAGACCCGCATTCCGGGCACATCTGAGGCTCATGTGGAATGCAAGAAATGCAGGACTACACAGTGGCCCATCCTGTGTTCCAGGGATGCTGAACAACTGCCCATCACCGCCTTCTGCTGCCGCGGGGGAGCCAGGCCCTTCGGAGGGTCAGGCAACTCTGGGCCACGCTGCAACTTTACGTAAAACTTTAGAGATTTTGTTTATGAGAAAATCTTTTCTTCTTAGACAGCAAATCCTGTCAAGAAGATGAGTTTTAAATCTTATTAAAACCATCCAGCCACCTCATTAGAAGGAATTAGAATGATTTCAAAAAAAGCCCATAGACTGTTCAGCAAAACCAACACCTAGTCCCTCCTAAGTCTTCTGTTGGCACCAGGATCCACATTTTTACAGCTAAACGCAAGCTAAACTCCTCTCCAAGTAGAGGAGAATATTTTCCACCCAGAAGAAACAAATTCCAAAAATGTAAAGTCTTCTTGGAAGGTTCATTTCAAAGACTTGAAGTTCAGCCAGTGGTAGCCTTCAGTTTTCTTAGGGAATAGCCAGGAGTGTTCTCTGAACTTGACAGTGTCACTGAGCTAGAGAAAACCCTTGATTGCAGGATGTCTATGTGGATCTGAAGTACTAACAAGACAAATGTGATATAAGAATGTGACCACAATCACAGAGTACTTCATGCTGGGAGGGATCTCTGGAGGTCTCTCCCCAGCCACCTCCTCAGAAGGCCAGCTTAGGGCATGCTGCTCTCCACTGAGTTTGAGTGTCTTCAAGGATGGAGGCTCTCCAACCTCTCTGGGCAATCTAATAAGTGAGGATTCAATCCTCTGCATCAAGCTTTTATGAACAAGTACACAAATAAAATACTGCTGAGTACACAGTTTAAAACAAAAATTCTGTTAGAAATTGTTTATGCTACATCAAATCAGAAAAGATCTAACAACACCCTGTATTATCCCACTGATAACCTGTTCTCAGGTTTAGAGACCATTCTAGTCAGTATAATACTGTTGCATAATTCCCAGGATAAAGGGATCCTACATTTGCAATGATGTCCCTGACAGACTGTAACACCTGGGGTTGTTAGATAGACAAAAAACACGGTTCCTCCGAATCATCACTAGAGGAAAGCCCCCCGGAATTATTTCTGAGTTTTCAATTTAGTCTGTTTATATTCCAGTCTTTCCAGTGGTTTGGTAGACCAGACTTTTTTCTTTTAAATATCTGTTCCTTGCTCTTCTCTCCCTTGCTGCTGAACCGTTACCCACCCGTAACCCGTTGAGATGCTCAGCCCCTGGGCTCTCTCTCACCCCAAGTGCCCTGCAGAGACCTCCCGGCTGGACTCCACTGTCTTTGGTGCCATCTATGGGCAAGCTCTGGTTTGCCGCAGAAACACTCAAAAACTGTTATCAGCCGTAAACACTTTGGAAGCTCAGTGTGGTCTTCTCACAAGGATTATTTCCTGAATGCTCAGTAATTCTGTCAGAATTACCAGATCCTCTGTGATACCAGGCCATACTCTCAGTTATTTCCCTGGGAGTCTGAAACAAAGGCAGAGCTAGATTCCAAGATGGAAAGACTGCATCGTTTTGTTTATATATCCAACAGTTTGGGATAAAATGCATTTAAAAGTAACTTGCTCGGTTGATCTTAAACAGTCCAGAAAGCTTTGCTTTCACAGTGCTCTATGTACCCCACAGCCTGGCTTTACAACAGTACAGTTAGTGCTTCTCCTAAGCCTTCTTCTCTTGGAGAAATGATCAAGGGAAGCTAAGATGTGTGAGATGAGGCTTTGTCTGTATTTTCATGTATATAATTTCTGAAAGAAAAGATGGCAGCTTTCTGTTATAATAACCAAGTGGAAGCTGAGAGGATTTACTTTGTATGGCATAAACCTTATATATTGTCTAAAACACGATGCACATTCCTTTGGGATATAAATATCAATCTGATTAGCTAGCAGGTCTTGTCAGCCGCAGTAATTGATCCCTTGGGGTATCAGAGCCATCCCGTGGCTCTAGGACTTCTGTAAAAGGTCAAGAGGACTTAACTAAGGTCTATATAAGTCATTATCTCCGTCATTTGAAAAAGAATTAAGTCAAGAGGACTCTGCAGATCTTTCTTCGGTTCTTGGCTTGGGGGAAACTAAGTGGCAAGGTGAGTTCAGTCTTTCCTCTGGAGCTTTGGAAGACGTCATGATAATCCACACAAAAATGCATGGATATAACCAAAGATCCCCAAGTGCTGTGCCGCTGTATAAATATGTCTGGTTTTGTCCTCAGCTTGTGCACCTGAAGACTCACCTAGGGATAAGAGCGAGGCAGATGCACGACATATATCAGCTGGCTCCCCTGGTTCCTGGGGGCTTGGGCTGCCACTGCCCCAGGGCTCAACCTGGGCTGTCCCCGGGGCAGCACCACGGGCTGGCAGGGCAGGATCAGCACCAACCCCACCCGGTACTATTTTTCATTTTACAGCAGCTTTGACATGGCTCTTGCTGGTATCCTGACAGAAGCTGAAATTGCTGCTGGCCTACAGAGCTGTCAAGGTAACGTTTAGGTTTTAAATATGGCTTTGCAGTTTTTCTGTCAAATTCCTTTGTCCTCACTACCCCAACGTCCTGATTCCAATAGGAAAAGAATCGTGTTGATTTCCTCTCCAGGGTACATGGTAAAATGTTCTCGTTATGTCTCTTTGCTAATTACAGCTTTAATTGTTTTACCAAAAAGAGAAAAAGGAGGCAAGGTAATGAAACGGATGCAAGTTTTAATCTTTGCCAGTCCCGTACAGGCACCCATCAACACCTGTGCACTGCAGCAATTTTAAGCATGAAAATATCCAGAGACTGAAATCCTGATTTTTTTACAGAATAATAAAACTCCTGTTGATTTCAATACAAGCGCAATTTTTATCATCAAGTTCTGTGAATTTACATTTGAGTGAAGGATCTGTTTACAAACGTATGTTCTTGTATGATGAAGACCACAGTCAATGTTTATCTTCCTTGGTTTGAGAGATCCTCGATGGAATCAGTTTAATCTGAAACAAACTCAGGAAAATCAAAGATTGGGGGTTGCAATGACCCTCACTGTACTGCAAAATATTTTGCTGCCTTTTGACCAAAAAGCTACTTTTTTTTGTTCTAGATTTTTTACTTCTTTTCCTGCTTATTTCAGCTGCTGATTCGTTCGATTACAAAACCTTTTTTGTCAAAGTGGGTCTCAACTCCAAGTCCAAAGACGAGCTCGCCCAAGTCTTCAGAATTCTTGACCAGGACAGGAGTGGCTTTATTGAGGAAGATGAACTGAAGTAAGTAAATAAACAGTGAGTTACCAACAGGCTTGTGTTTAATTGTCTCAAGATGCAGCATAAAATCAGTGACACTCTCTTTCCTTCTGTCTCTTTGGATGAGAGACAATGGGGTGTGTGTGCACGTGTATGTGCTTGTGCTGAAGGAGCTGCAAGACAAATAACAAAGGAAAGGCTGGATGACAAGGAGAAAA